GCAACCAAAAAGTGTTGGACGTAAAAATAAATAAAGCACCTGGGAGGGGCTGAGAGAGCAGACGGTGGGGCGTAGGCTGGAGCGGGAGGAGTGGGGCGCGGTGCAAGTGTGTGTTGGGCGGAGGTTGCACACCACGTTCGGGGCTGCGACTGTGCCGCCTCACCCTGGAAGCCACCAGACTCTTGACTCACCTGCCATCTGCCAGACTGTCCCACTCTGTGTCTGAATTTGTCTCCTTCCCTTCTGGGAAGAGGGGCAGCTGCTCTCCTTAGCATAATTCCGCCATTTCTGGAGCACCTACTGTGTGTCGGGCACGTGCTAGGCGTCGTCCCTTTAGTCTCTCATTCACTCTTTACAAAACTGACTGCTCGTTGCAGACGAGGACTTTGGGCTCAGAGAAGTCCAATAACTTATCTAAAGCCACACAGCAAGAAGTGGCAGAGCCACGATTTGAAGCCAGCTCTTCCTGACCCGAAAGCCTTTACTCTTTCCATCACACGTTTTCCAAGTGTCCAGTTGCCTCCCCTTCCATGGCTGGGCAGTTGGTGTTATCATATCCGGCATGGATGGTGTTTTTCCTGTTGATGCTGCAGGCCTGTGATGGGAGCCTGGCAGGTACTCTGATCCCTCTTTGCTTTGCTGGAGGCTCCAGGGGAACCTAGCAGCTCAGCCTCCATCCCTGGGCACCTGGATGGAGGGACACCTGACAAGGAAGGCTCTGTGTCCTTGTGATCGTAATAACGGCACCTGCTGGGCCCTTGGTGTGAGCCGGGTGCTGTTCTAAGCACTTCAAATTAGTCAGCTAATTTAATGGTCAAGGCAACCCTACAGGTGGGTCTTGGTCTCAGCCTCATTTTACAGATGGGGAAACTCAGAGACCGTGGACTTTGCCTGAGGTCACACCCCCAGCAAATGGCAGGTCCAAGCTCTGGACTTAGGCATTCAGGCCCCAACCAGTACACGCAGAGTCTCTCTGGAGAGCAGGGGCTCTACTGGAGCACTGACAGGAGCTCAATCATCAAACCCACTGCTCCCCGGGCCCCAAACCCCCAACCCCAAACCTGCTGCTGCCTCTTCCTTGAAGCCTTCCTGGATGCTGCCTCACGCACAGGCGGCAACTCACATGCATCCCCTTGCCACTCTGTTTGGTCTCTTGACACTCCGCCATGTGCTTGGGAGGTGTGTGTATGTTCTTCCCTCCAGATCATTAGCTCCTGGAGAGCAGAACCTGGGGCTCGGCCACTGCGATTGCCACAGCACCCGCAGAGGACCTGGCACAGGGAAGGTGCTCAACCCAGGTGTGTGGGTGCTGAGCACGGGGGTCCTGCAGGGGAGCCTGTCATCAGTGCAACGAGCTTTGTAGCGGGGAGCACTGCTCCCTGATGTCGCTCATGGAGGACGGAGACAGAGGACGCTTGAGGCTGTCTTTTTGACTCTGTTCACTGAGGTTAAGTGAATTCCGGATCAGGGCACTGGAAGGCTCAGGAACAAAGAGAGCAAGTTTAGGACAAGGGGATCTGGTGGACCACACACGCACACACACACTCATGCTCACACTCACATAAGAAAGAAATGGGCTCCTTGCTTCCACTCCCAGCTCCACTCTGAGCTCCAGGGGCTCTGGGAACTACGACAGGAATGCTTTTAAATCCTCTTCCCATTGAGCTTTTGTAAAAATGATGGTCCAGTAAAGCTAGCAAGTAAGCTAGAAGCAGCCTGGCCTCTGGCTCTCTTGGCTGGAAATCGGGCCAGTGCTGGGGATCGAACCTGGGAACGCTGAAGTCTCAGGGGTGTGGCTGCAGTGGGTCAGTGGTCCGAGGCCCTTCTCCTGGGTGGTCAGCTGGTTAGCTCGGCTGGTCAGCGCAGGGCCCAGCTTTGTGCCGGAGGCCAAGGTCAGCAGCTCAGGGCCCAGAGGAGTGCTCTGGTCCTGCTCGCATCACCGGAGATGCACGTCGCTGATACTAGTGGGGTGGGGTGTGTACACAGGAGGATGATGACAAAGCAAATCCACCCTCCCCTCTGCTGGGGGAGGATTCTGATGACGGGTCCTGGGCCAGGCTAGAGCCTGGGGTTCTCTTCTTGTCTCTTTAAAGACTCCTCTGTCTCCACTGACTGCCTTCTAGGTGTTATCCTACCCGCCTTGTGCAGGCTGGGCTTGGAGAGGTTCAGCAATTTACCGAATTTCTCACAGCTGCGGGTATGAAATCCCTGTATGAAGTTCTCCCCAGGCCCTCCTGTGGGGCAGTCCTTGGCATGCTGGGGCTGGGGACAGGGCCCTGCATGGGGGACTGTGGGCAGGCGGAGGGCAACTCAGTGTCCTTTCAGCCTGGCTTCGTGGGCGGGCAGGGAGTGGCATGAGCTGGATGGGGAGGAAGCAGGAGCCAGGCTGGCCTTGGACCTGGTCCTGTAGGTCTAGGCAATGGGGGTCCACTGGAAGGGTGCAGGTTATCTGGAAGGGTGCAGTGAGCTGGTTGGGTGCAGTGAGCTGGTTGGGTGCAGGTGAGCTGGAAGGGTGCAGTGAGCTGGTTGGGTGCAGTTGAGCCGGTTGGGTGCAGGTGAGCCGGTTGGGTGCAGGTGAGCTGGAAGGGTGCAGGTGAGCTGGAAGGGTGCAGGTGAGCCGGTTGGGTGCAGGTGAGCCGATTGGGTGCAGGTGAGCTGGAAGGGTGCAGGTGAGCTGGAAGGATGCAGGTGAGCTGGAAGGGTGCAGGTTATCTGGAAGGGTGCAGGTGAGCCGGTTGGGTGCAGGTTATCTGGAAGGGTGCAGGTGAGCTGGAAGGGTGCAGGTGAGCTGGAAGGGTGCAGGTGAGCTGGAAGGGTGCAGGTGAGCTGGAAGGATGCAGGTGAGCTGGAAGGGTGCAGGTGAGCTGGAAGGATGCAGGTGAGCCGGTTGGGTGCAGGTGAGCTGGTTGGGTGCAAGTGAGCTGGTTGGGTGCAAGTGAGCTGGTTGGGTTCCCTGAACACACGCGCTTTGCGTCCTTCTCTGTTGGAGGAGGAGTGTTGTTCCAGTTCATCCAGTAACCATATCAAGTCGTTAAAGGATAAATTAGAGGAAAGGAGGCAGGGGTCACGGGATCACTCTTTCTTGTGGAAATCGTTCCATCTGTCAGTGGAGTGGTCCCAGGAGCCCCAGCTCTCACAGTCATTTCCAGCTGTGGGTCTGTAGATCCAGCGCTGCCCGAGGGTCGACACCGACTCCTTACCGTTTAGCTTCTAAGTGGTCCTGGACCACAGAGGCAAAGGTCAAGCGCAGGTCGGCAACAGCCGTAATCCATCCGGGCTGTGCGGACAGTTTCCCCACCGAGAGCAAGCGGACATCCCAGTGGTCTCGGGCCGACCGGCCATCTTTGGTGTCTTGTCTCTGTCCATGCGTCCTTGGTCCCATCTTCACCCTATGCCTTTCCCCTCAGGAGTCAGCTTGAGCGTTTTCCTCGTACAAACACCTCGGCCCGCATCTTGCCTCATTTCCTCCCTCGGATGCATTTCTGGACCTACACCACGCCCACAGCGCCGTGAGAGGCCCTGAGGCCCCCGCTCCACCATCTACCCATCCTGCGTGTGACCATTTTCCAAAAGAGAGTAAATTCGACAGCAACAAAGGATGACATTTAATTTGCATCTCTGCAATGTTAATGAAGCCTTCTGTTTTGTTACGTTTTGGCCGATTGTATTTATTCTTTTGTGTATTTCTTGTTCAAGCCTTCTGCCCTTGCTTCTATGGGATTTTTGGGGTTTGTTGCTGCCTTGATGGAGTTCCTGTATTGAAAGTGTTAACTCCTGGTCTCTCATATACACTGCAGTAGTTTTATTGTTTGTTGATGGGTTGAACCTTTCAAAAGGGCTTTTTCTGTCCATACAGGTATTTTAATGTTTATGCGTTCAGAGCTATCCGTGTTTCCTTGACGATTTCTGCTGTGATGTGGTGCTTGTAAAGGCCTTTCCCACAACAAAATTATGGAAACATTCCTGCACGTGTGCGGCCGATTCTTTTATGGCTTCATTTTCTACATTGAGCTCTTTCCTCTGTGTGGAATTGATTGCTTGTGTCTTCGTAAACTGCTTCAAATTCCCTCTGAGACGAAAGTGATTAATAGATCAATTAATTCATTAATTAACAAGGCGGGGAGGGGAAAGCTGGGAGAGGAGGAGAGGGTGAGGATACAGGAGAGACGCGGCATAATTAACGATCAAGGTTGGACGAGAAGGGGTCGAGTGCTGGGGACAGGGAGTGCATAGAGGGGTCCACCTTGATCTGAAGGTGGGACTCAGTCTCTGAGACTCGAGAAGCGGGTGGCGGAGGTCAGTGTTGCCAAGGCAGGAGGTGGGTAGGAAGGAAGACGATGAGCCAGGTGCCAGAATCTCCAGTGACCAAGGGGGGGGGTGGCAGTGGGGAGGGACCAGGAGAGATGGCATCAAAGAGGAGGACCAGCGGATGGGATGAGCCAGGTGGCAGGGGCCTCGGGGGGAGGCTTACAAGTTTACGACTTGTGGGGACGTGATGGGCTGTCCTGTCTCTGGGCCTTATGGGATCTGGAAGAAGATTACATCCACTGGGGACGGACTCTGGGGAGAGCCAGGTGTCCGGTGAAGTGGCGAGTGGAAGGGACGTGCAGAGAGTAGGCTGAGGACAGAAGGAAGTTGGTTCATCATGGGCGTAACATCCTAGACTCCGGGTCCCATGAAAGGTCTGGGAGGGAGGGGCTGTGCGAGGGAGAGTCTGTCCCCATCAATGGACAGGATCAGAATCAAGGAATGTCCAATGAGCCCATTTGTACAGCCCCTTACACTTCACAAGTCACCTGCACATCTTTGCTTGCCTGGGAGCCTTGCCACAGCCTCCAGAGCAGAGAGGTTCGCCCAGAGCCGGGCAGGTGGCCGGTGCCAGAGTCAGCATGCCAACCCAGAAGTCCTGATGCCCCGGCTGGGTGCTGGAGGCTCCCCCCACCCGCTTCACGTCTGTTCACTCGGGGCCAGAAGCTTGGACAGTGCCTCACGGTCTTCTTCTCTCTCCTCCCTCCGCAGGGCGGTCGTCGGCGTCGCCGGCCTTGCTGACCATGAATGGGATGGCCAATTTGAACTCTGCCAGCCGCCCGCACTATGCCTCTTCCATCCCCGTGCCGCGAGCGGCTTCCCAGACTGGGATCCCCACCCCGGGCGCCTCTCCCCAGCTGCGGCCGCGCCAGGCCGGCCTGGCCCTGAGCCCCCAGCGAGCAGCCTCCGCAAGACTGGGCAAGCCTGGAGGCCCCTCCAGAAGCTCCTCTCCTAAGGCCTCTCAGGGGAGAGGCTCCCCCAGGGCTTCTGGGGCCGTGAGAGAGTCGGCCCAGGGTGGTGAAGGCCTCTCCGGCTCACCATGGAGCAGCCCCAGGGCAACCCCAAAAGCAGCCCTCTCCAGCCGGGCTGGGTCCAGAAGAGTTGGGGACACACAGGGAACCCCGAGAAAGAAGAAGGTGGCCCAGGAAGGGATTCCAACCCACCAGACCCGGGGCAGGAGCCCATCCCGGACCAGCACGCGTGGAGAAACCCAAATACCAGGGGCTCCTGAAGGTCGAAAGGCTCCCAACCATCCAGGAAAAGGTCAAGGAGACACAAACTACAGAAGTTCTGGGGTCCCCAGGTCTCTGGAGCCTGATGCCAGGGCAGTCTCAGGGGTTCTGTCCCCAGTCTGCAGCCCAGTGCAGAGCAAGCGACCTTCCCCAGGCTCCGGGGCCATCAGCTTCTCCTCCGTGCATCAGCAAAGTCAGCCAGTCACAGCCACGGTGGCCCCTTTCCAGTACAGGTGAGTGGGGGCAGCAGGCAGGGGGCGGAGGGGGCACGGGAGGCATGCAGCTGGGAGCCAGGGGCAAGCCCTGAGGGAGAGGGGCCTGGATGATGAGTGGCTGGTGGAGACCAGAGGACCCCAGGGGATAGAGGAAGTCAGGCAGGGGGTTTGGAGAGCTGAGATAGGATTGGGAACAAAAAAAGGGGACCCGGATCCCAGCTGTGGTCTTTCTCAATTCTAGGGACTCCACAAGAGAGTCCCATAAGGAGGGTGCCCCTAAAACGTCCATCTCTCCTGCCCTCAAAGATGGAGTATTAGGGTATTGGCATAAGCAGGTTTGTCAGTCTTACCCAATTCATCTGGGACGTTTGCCACCTCTGTGGGTTTGACTTGTTGTCATGGGCACTGAGCCTTCCGTTCCTGGGGACCAAAGTCCTCACTCCTCCTTGGTGCTCCCACAATACCTTGTGTCTGTCTGTCATTCTCTCTCTCCGCTTCCCATATTGCCTTATGCATATCTGTCTGCGTGCCCTGCACACCCAGGGTCATCAATGATGCTCCTTAAATGGTCAGGTGGGGGTGGCCACCATTGGCGGTGGTGGGGCCACTGTGCATACCCACGTGGTCACCAAGCTCGTCTCTCTAGCTTTCTTCAGACAGGGCAGGTTGAGTGCAGAGGGAAACTCTTCCGTCAACTATGCTCTTCTCATAAAACTGTAAGTCTTTACTAAAATGGCCACATTAAGTAAACTAAACCTTAATTACTGAGGATTACACAGTTTAGAAGAGCTTGCATGCCAAAGTCCCTTCCTGCCCACCTTAACTTGCTGGGTTTTTCTTTGCTAATGTGAGGAGAAATTTACTCACATTTGGGGCACAGAGAAGCTTGTACATCGTTCCCTGGACGCTGGGGGCTCTGAGTGGCAGAGCGTGGCGGGCGGTGGGTCGGGAACCACCAGGAGCCAAGAGTGGAAGTCTGTGGGGTCCGGCACAGAGAAGTTCATGGTGCCACTGCCTTCTGTGTGTGGTCAGCCCACGTTCGGAGCATTACATTCCACTACGAACACCACGTAAATGCACAAAAACACATTAGAGAAAGACTGACAGGCGGGCGAGGGAGCCTGGCAAGGTGCTGTAAAAATGATTAAAGGACCTGGAGCCTTTCACCTTGGATGAGGAAGGCTGAGAGCGTCTGAGAGCCGTTTTCCAGTATCTGAAGGGCTGTCACGTTGTGAGATGAATTAGATTTACCGGGGGCAGCTCCAAAGAACTGAGTCAGCATCACGGTGGTTGGAAGTTAGTTTGAGACACATCTGAAGCTCGGTAGGAAGAACTTTCCAACAATGATAGAGGTTTACCAATTGCCTGTACGGTAGTGAGCTTCCCGTCATGGCGGGAATTCTAGCTGGGTCCATGACCAAAGGGACTTCTCCCTGGCTGATCCCTGCCTCTTGGAGCATCTCTCTGACAGCTGTCCTGCCCTCAGAGTGCTCCCATGTTCCTCTTCCCAAGGGGCAACTCCTTTCGGGCCCTCGTGACGTTCTTGACTTCGACTCTCAAGCAGCTGAGAAAACTGCAGAAGCAGAAGCGCAGGGTGGACCCTGCCTGGAATGGGCTTTTCCAGTTACTTTCCAGATGCTTTTCCAGTTACTAAACGGTTGGCCTGCTGACTCCTTGACTTTCTTCTCCTACCTGATTGCCTTCATTTTGAACCCAGTCTTTGGGGGAAAGTGCATGTTAAATGGTTGAAGAGTTTACGTGATCTACCCTGCAGGTCCCCGGTGTGTTTAGAATCTGACATTCTCCAGAGGGCAGATCTTTTGCTCCGCACGTTTCAGTGGAGCCTACACAGCACCGCGCTCCCTCCGCTCAGCGAGCGTTTATTCCGTGTGTGCGTTTTATACAGAAGTGGAAATCTGTCTCACCTGGCAGCTCGCTGGGGATTTTCTCCACCATCCCCCCTCTTAGCCCCGCCCGTCTCAGGCCTGGGTTAGAGTGGCGGGTAGGGTCATGCTTCGGGCAAGGGAAGATTAGGACCAAGGACACCCCCAGGCGCTGCAGGCACCTGGACGCGAGCCCAGCATACCCTGCGGGGCCTGGAGCTGCTGCCACGGGCGACTGGGCCACGGGCCAGGCTGGGCTACCCTTGCAAGTTTCATAGCCAAGGTGGTGCCATCTGCTCCCTGGAAGTCACAGAATCCTGTTTTCATGGACATCTGCACCCCCACCCGGCACCTTGGCTTCTGCAGAGCTCCAGCTTTGCTCCCCGTCTCTACTCCCGCCCGCCCTGCTTCTACAGGGAGTGAACCGCCAGCCATCTTTTCCCTGCCCCATCCTCCATTGGCATCTCTCTCCAAGGCTCTGGGGGCGGTCCTTCCTGGTGGCATTTGTCTCCTGGAGCCCCCATTCCCTGGACCCTTCCGTCTGCTCCCTGATGCTCTGGTCTCACATGCCTGGTTCCATCAGAGCTGCCACCTCATTCACCTCTGCTCCCTGGGAAGCAGCCCGGGCAGCCCCACCACCGTGGCTGCTCCCTGTTTCCAGCTGCCCCGGGGCTTCCCCTCCCCAACAGGTTCTGTTAACGGTGTCAGGAGCATCAGGCTCACGGTTTTCTGCTCTCTGGTTCAACTGCCATCCAGCGTGGCTGGTACTGGCCATTCAGGCTGGGAAGTGAGGGGAGACACGGAGGCCTGGCCATGTCTGGGGAGCTGGAGGCAGGTGGAGGTGGCGGTGTAGAGCCAACTGAGTTTGGAGGGACGAAGGCTGCCTCCTCGGTGTTCCTGCGGCCGGAGTCTTGGCCACACGGCCGACGCAGCCTCCCTCGCCGTGCACCAGGATGATGATAACATGACAGCCCACGATTCCTAAGACTGGTTCTTGCCACCTGCCGGGGGTCAGGTGGCGCTTGCCCCCTCACGTATGTGACGTTATTCAGCGGAACATTTATGCATTACCTGGAGCTCCCTCTCTCCAGTAGAACGTCCTCTGACTTTCTCACCCACAAGTTGCATCCCTGACTTCAAAAACCCAAATCTATACTCATTTCTCTCAAGAAACCAACCAGCTCCAGTGTTCCTTTGTCCCCTTGACCCGCGTGTATCTGGGCTGACACTGAGTTGGCGGGAGTGTGCAGGGAGTGACCCCCTCATCCTGAGCACCCCCCAGGGCGAAGTGACGTCAACGCTCCCCTGCCCCACCCCCAGCACCCAGCTGAGGGGCCTGCACACACCCAGGAGCTCCACCCCACCTGCACGGCTTCGAAAGAGCCTCTCGCAGCCCTTGGTTGTCAGACCCGTCTGGGCCTGGAGACCTCCCTTCCACTCCACAGTAGAAATGAGACCAGAGGGGAGAAGAGACTTGCTCTGCCTTACCCAGCAAGTTAATAGCAGAGCTGAGCCCAGAGTCCCACATCTGAGTGTTGAGACAAGAACTGGAGAGAGAGGATGACCAATCTCAGCTGCCCCAGAGACTCCCAGGGTCCCCCGGCCCAGCCCCCTCCCCAGGACCAGCATCAGTTTCCCCTCCTGCCTGCACAGCCCTCCCCTCCCGCTGCTGCCAAGCTGCCAAAGGGTCCATTTAGCTGGAGACAGCGGGCGGACGGGTGGGCGGGCCAGCTCCCGGAGCTCGGGGTAATTGCCTGTAATAAGGCTCCCACAGCCTTTGTTCCTGGGAGCGACTGCACGGTTGGGGTTGTGCTCAGAGGGCTGTGTGCACTCGGGAGCTGGTGCCCGGAGACCTCACCCTTCCATCCTACTTCCACAACTGGCCCTGCGTGGACTTATCCTCCCAGGAGCCACTGTGACCCCAGCTGAGCCGGCCCCTCCGTCTTCCCTGCCCTCCTTGCTGCCTGGACCGTGAGCAAGCCCAAGGGGGCCTGTGTGCCCGGGAGCTCTCATAAGGAATTGGTGATCTCAGCTTCAGAGGGAGTTCTTCCCCGTGTGTATGCACGTGGCTGTACATATATGCACATCCTGAGGGCAGGGACCGTGGCAGGACAAACAACCCAAGGGCTGGAGTTACTGCGGGGTCCCTCTGCCCTGTGGGTGATTCACTTCCTGAGCCTGGGTGAGACACCAAAGGGTGTCTGGCTTCAGCCATCCCACTTCCCTTGGGGCCCCCCAACCCCTAGTCCTAGCCTGACTTGCCCAGAAGGCCTGCATCTGCTGGAGTGCACACACATGCATGTGCCCAGTGGGAGTGCCCAGCTCACAGGGGTGCGAGGCACCAGCAGAGGAGAAGAACCACGCTCCAGGGAGGTTCCTCAGCCCCATGGAGAGACTTCGAGGCCAGGATGACCTCTGCCGTGAGTGACCACCCCTTCTCTGTCCCACAGGTTGCAGCCAGACCAGGAGGAAGCCGGCCCCCTCCCCCAGGACAGCTGGGCCCTGGACGGCTGCTCTGGCCCCCTTGGTGGGCCTGAGGAGAGCTTCTCCTGCGTGGGTGAGTACCGTGGGGTGAAGACTTCCTCTTGGGGTGGGGAGGTCCTAGACTAGAACCCTCCCCATTGCCCACATGGAAGAAGCAGTGACCCAGGTAAACAAGCCCCCTGTTAACAAGGAGATGTCCGCCTATGAACTGCACTGTGCGTTTTTGCCCTGCTTGGCTCAACCCAGGAGTGGTCCGTCCAATCCAGGAGCACTTCAGGGCCAGGAGAGGGAAGCGGCCGTGGGTGCCCTGTTTATCCAGCGCTCCATTGAGGGAATCACTGAGGCCATCAGTGAAAGCCAGGAGGCAGATTGCAGGTCCCAAGCCTGGATTAACGGGGAAGATGCTGGGCACTAGGGAGGCGGTCTGGAGCCATCCGGCCAACTGTCCTCCCCTGGGACGCCTCTCAACAGGGTGCTCCCACTGGTGTCACCTTCTTGATGTGCACAGTACTGTTAACTGAGCCTCAGGAACCAGAACGTAAGACTCACCAGGAAGACCCCTGAGACTCGAGGACGGTGATGTTCCTTACGGGCGGAGACACCGCCTGCTCCCAGGTGCCTCCTCGGGCCAGTCTCTGCCCACGCGGGTGCTCAGGAGGTGTCTCTGAGTGAATGAATGGCCAGAGGATGAGTGAATGCCTTGTGTACTGCAGGTCGGGTCCCTAAAGGGGTCAGATTCTAAACTCCTAGCAGGTTTAGAGGTGTGTGTTGGTTTTCTTGCGACATTAACAAAATACCTAGCGGATGACTGTAATCCATATCGGAGGTTCAGGAGACCCCACACTGCGGGGACCCTGCTCTCTTCTTTGGTTGCCGGAGGGACACTTGCCCCAGGAAGGAGAGGACTTGCTTTTGGCAAACCTGAGGCTGTCTGGAGGGTTTGTCGCACAGCTCGTCTCAGTGCCCTGCTCCAGTGGGACCCTGGTGATGTGCATTCCTACCTTCTTTGTCTCCTGCCGGGCGGGTGGTTGGGTGTCCCTCGAGCCTGGGAGCTGAGCCCTCTGCCATCCTGGTCTCCAGCAGTGGTCTTGGAGCCAGTGAACGCAGAGCAGCGACACTCATTCTTCCATGACAAGCCTTGCGGAGAAGGGTTGTGGGGTCGAGACTGGGCATCTAAAAGTAAGCCGTCGCCTCCCACAATAAGCATTCACGCGGGGGACCAGCGCGTGGCAGGAGACTAAAGGAAACCAAATTCACTGGCACGGAAAAGCCGTCAGAATTAGAACGTGGTAACCAGGACGCTCTGTGGAGCTCTATTTTTACATCTGCAGTTTGCTGTGTGATGGCTTCCTCATGGGCACGCCACATTGCTGGAGCCTGGTCCTCTCCACCCACCGGGCACGCACTGGCCGCTGTTCCCTGATGAGCTGGTGGGAGGGCTATGACTTGTCACGTCTGCGGCAGCCTGGCTTTAGGACTCGCCCAGGCTGGTTGGCTGGAGGACCACCCTCACCAGCCGGATCTGAAGGGTCTCCTAGATCACAGGTGGGGCTACTCCACAGGGAGGAGCCTCAGGGAGCCTTCAGAGTGGGCTTTTCCTCTGAGGCTCCTGGGGAAGGGGAGCGCGGTTCGCTGCGCTGCCTCTGCTCTGGTACTCGCTGGTCGTCATGGTGATCCATCACGGCCAGGGACACCGGGCTCTTTGACGGGTTGGATGCGGGAGAGACTTGGGGTCTGCCTGTGCGTTGTAGGGGAGCCTGTTCTCTGAGCCCGAAGCAAACAGAGCCGAGCGGAAGAGAGGAGCCTAGGGAAGGCTTCCGTTTCTGCCCTGCTCTCCCACCCGAACTCCCCTCAGGGCCTGGTAACGGCTCATTCATTCATTTATTCTTTCATTCAATCAACAAACCATCAGTAACGGTTGGTCTTGTACCCATACTGTGCTTGGCAGGGGCGTAAAAGATGATCCGACTGTGACCTGCCTTTGGGGAGTTCAGGGTCTCCGGGATCCACTCCAGGGAGCCTTCCCCAGGGAATCCGCTGGCATCCCTGAAACCCCGCCCACTGACCTGCCCTTGTAGGAGCTGACAAGGTGGCCCAGTCACTCCGGCCTCCCCTCAAGGCCCTGCAGCATGAGGAGGGTGCTGGGCCTCTCCCGCACTTTGTGGAAGGAGCACTGGGTGCCTTGGGGAGCACCACATCCTCTATCGATAATCTTCCTGGGACCCAGCACAGGTGTTTCAGTTATGGATTCCGTTGTTCCCGTATGGATTTGGAGATGACAGGGGGCAGGTCTGCTCTCTTTTTTAGCTCACACTGCCTCCCTTCTTGTCCGTGAACTCATCTTCTTCCCCATTACATGGTGCGGCACCTGCTGCTCCGTGTTCAGTAAAATGGGGCGTTGAGCGAGTGAGTCTGGGATCCATCGTTGGTCGTGGTGGACCTCATGCGTCCCCTGCAGCCTGTTTCTTGCTCTGCCAGCTGAGGAGGAGCAACCGGCCTTTCTCTGCCGTCCTCCCAATACGGTCCTCTCTGGCATCCAGGCCCGTGGGGGCGGAGTCCTGGAGGGGAGCAGGAAGGGGCCGAAGACCCTTCTCAGCCTTGCACCACTTTCCCACTTCCTCTGCCTGGGAACAGGGTCCAGATGAGGCTGGGTAACCTTTGTGCAGCGGGAGGAGATTTTCCCATGATGACTTGCCGCCAAGCAGAGGAGTTGGGTCGGCCTTCGTCTGTCCCGAAGGCATCCACGACCAGCTGCTCCCTCTGCCTCTGCCCTGGGGCAAGTGTGGAAGATGCGGCCCGTGGGCGTCTGTACCTGTGCCCTGACCCCCCAGCCCGCCCGGCTGTGCTGGTGACAGCCCCATGCTGATCCCAGCAGTGGACCCATCCCTAGGCCGCCATCCGAGCTTAATCTGGAAAGCCGAGGGAAGCCAGGGCTGCTGATTCTGCACGCCCACGTGTGCGAGGCCACGTGCCGGAGGACTGAGAAAGGTCGCCCTGAGGTTGACACAGGTTCCTAATGACTGCCGCTTTGTGGCGTGTTTGAATGAGCAGTAAGTGGACACATAATGAAGGGATCTTCTCCGTCATGACATGTGTCACCAGGAACGAGCTGGAGCCTGCTCCCTCCGGGCCGTGCGCCAGGGTCGATATGTCGGATGGCAGGGCAGCATGAGTCTGGCTGCACGCAGGCTCTGCGCTCTCTCCTCCTTTCTCCTCCCGTGTGGAGCTGGCTCCGTCTTCCAGCCACAGGTCAGTTTTTCATGTCTCGTGGATTTGGGAGCCAGGACAGAGGCCCCCTTCTAAGGAAGCCTGCAAACCTGGTGCGCCCTCGGCCGGGCCGGGAGAGGTGTGCTGACTACTCTCCTCAGAGGGTTTGTTCTGGGCCCTCAGGGGGCTCTGGTGCCATGGAGCAAGCCCCTCCACCCCAAGCCTGTGCTCCTCCGGGAGCTCCAGGCCACATCCAGTCTCCCAGGGCTACAGATGACTCGGAATCACAGAGCTAGGAAAGTCAGAGCTCTAACAAACTTTACGTATCACCCGGATGTGGACTCCTTTTCCACGGGGAGAGATGGGCACAGAGAGGAACCGTGACTTGCTCAAGATTGCACGGCTGGTTAGCAGGTCATTGAAACCCAGGCCCCTGCCCTCTGACTCCCCAAACACTACACCATTATGGAACACCTACTGTGTGCAGGCACAATGCTAATGCTCCGCGTGAAGCCCGTCATGAGCGCCTCACACAGCCCTTTGCGGTGGTCTGTCATTCTGTGTCGCAGGTGAGGAAACCCCGGCTCAGAGAGGTGACATAAAGTGACTCGTCTGAGGACATGCACGAGGCGAGGGGGCTGTGCCGGGATTTGAATCCAGGCTCGTGTCCTTGAGTCGCTGGCCGGCCGGCCCGTTGGCTGCTGGTCCTCGCTGTGTTAACTGCACTCTCTTCGAGCTCCGCTCTGTCTCCCTTCGCCTCTGCCCAGTGGTGGGGAAAGAAGTGGGTCAGGGAGCCACGGTCCCTGCCGACATCGCCCTGAAGCCCCGGGATGTCACTGCTCCTCTGTCATCCCCAACCTGAGTCATTTCACGCTGAGTTCACACGGCCGTGTCCCCTGCCCTCTGGGGACCTTCGTGCTGAGCTGAGCCTGATGTCCCAGCCATCCGTGGAGAGAGGACGCGCGGAAATTGACTAGAAGACACGGACCAAGTTCAGGGGCCGACGGCATTGGCCGTGTTCCAGGGCGCGGCGGGAGCAGAGGAGGTTCGGGGTGCAGGGGGGCCTGGAGGCCCTGTTTGGGTAGACAGTGGCCGCCTGGGACCACGCAGACTTCCAGGAGCTGGGATGGAAGGCGATGATGACGCTGAAGGGCCTCGGTGACACTTACTGTGGCTTCCTCTGAACTGGCGCTGATGGGGCACCTCTCATCCTTCTGAGGATGAAGGGGAGTCAGAGCCTCACTCCCTAGCTTTGCCTCACAGCTTTGCCGCTTGCTGGCTCTGCAGCCTCAGGCAAGTTATTTGACCTCTCTGTGCCTCTGTGATGATAACAGTACCCTCTTCCTAGGGTTTTGTGAGGATTAAATGCACCATCTTAGAAGGGTGCCCGTGCATCGTAACTGCTTAAGACGCGATTGGTGTTATTCGTTATGGAGGGAGGTGCTTTGTTAGCATGCCCACTTTACAGATGAGGCGAGTTACGTGACAGGCTCAGGGTGGTCCTGCCAGCGTTGGAACCGGGCAGCTGGTCTGCAGAGATCCTGCTCTTAGCCACACATGCCATGACCTCGAGGGAGGGGACACGTCCTGGGTCCTGGGGCACCCCAGGGAGGCCGGGAGAGGCAGAGCCTGGCTCTGGGAAGTGCTGTGAAGGGGCGAGACCAGAGAAGTGAGGTCACGGTAGGTCCCCTGCTGGAGGGGCTTAAAATAGAAACCCAGGGATCTGGATCCTGTTTCTTCGCAGGAGGATGGGGGGGGGGCAGTTGACGAGTGACTTCTCGAGACAGCGTGTGGCTGGGGTGGCATTCATCTCCAGCAGCGAAGCAGACCCAGCTGGAGCCATTTTCCAGGAGTGTCCAAAATAGC